CCCCAGCACCTGACAGCAACGGGCGCCTTCCCTGTAGGAAAATAATAATGATTACAGTACATCAATCGGAAGGTGTTTCTCTGGGTTAGGAAATTTAATTAACAGCAGACAATAGGCTTTTTTCTGTTGTTAAGTCGGGAAGCCATGGCAGTGACTGCCCCACGGGCTGGATTCCTCGGGCGCCGCCTCCGGACGGTGACAGACGGACAGTGACAGACAGACGGTCTGCGGCGTGTGACAGTTCACCCGTGACCCCCCCAAGCAGAAGTTCCACCCCAGCCGCGAGGGCTGGCTGCCCGCCTCTCACTTTAAGCCAGCCTTTTTCAAGTCCTCGGGCAGAACCCGGCCCTTCTTCCGCGCCCTGGCTTTCTTCTTCTCTATCCGATCCTTCTTCTTCTTCTGAATGTTCTTGCGACGCTTTTCCTGCCGCTGTTGCATCTTTTCTACCACTTTTTCTGTCCGCTTCTCCCACTGCCTTTGGCGTTGCGCTTTACGCTTCTCCTTACGCTTCAGAGCTTCTTTCAGACGCTCCTCGTCATCGCGAATCTTCACGCCTTCCGCCTTATAGAGGACATTTGTCCATTTCATCTTGTTCTCTAGCTCCTCAGCTTTCTTCTGGTCCTTATCCTTGAGTTCCTCCAGCTTATTCTTCCTGGTCTCCAGCCTGTTCAGCAGCTGCTTGTAGTTTCTGCCCGTCAGAGGAGTGATATTGCCTTTCACTGCCTTCCTCTTCTCTTTCTTCTTCTGGATCTTGCTCAACTCATTCTCTTCATGGACTTCGACCCTGTTAAAGACCACCTCAGCTGTGCTCTCCTCCTTTTTGCTTTCTGGCTCTACCGGTACCTCCTCAGTTTCTTTCTTCACCATTTTTGCCTTCATCTTCAACTCCTTCCTTCGGCGCTTCTTTCTCTCTCTCTCATACTTTCTTCGCTGCCTCTTCTCCAGGACTGCAGGGGGCAATTCTTTGGCATCATCCTGATAAGAAGGACAAACATGAATCAGGAACCTTCAAGGGATAAAGCAGAATTAAAAGCAGAATGTCCGCAAGTTCCTGATTTCAAACTTCTCTTAAGAAATACACTACTTGTGACAAGAAGCTGTACACTCAGCTTTTAGAGATGCTAAACACAGTAAAGGCATTTCAAGCCCTTCACTCTCTCCCAACACCCCGTAGCTATGCTCCCTTTCAGGCTCTTTGTGCTTTTCTTTTTCCTAAAAATCACCAGAGGCATGCTACGCTCCCCTCCAAGCCAGGCCTGACCTTTTCTCGCGTGTTTTTCTGGAATACACACAGGTCTCCCAGCAATACCTACAGAGGCTTCCTTAGAAGATGGAATGAGCTCAAACCCTGAGCCTTGTAGGGTCGCAGTCTTGTCCCCAGATCCCCTGGGAGGCTAGGGAGAATTTGCATTGCATAAACACACATATGGATACATCTTAAGAGTTCTCATACTTTTCCAGAAGCTTTTTTAATCTTCTCGTGTAGTCTCTGACGCAGGAGATTCATTGCGGAAAAAGAAGGGGAACCCACTTCACTTTTGCTCCCTGCAAATGAGAGGAAGAAAATAAAAATACTTAAAAGACATCACTAGCCTAACAGAAGAACTTTTTATGGCTACAGGGAGAGCTCTGGGAACTCCTTAGATGCCGCAAATAGAACAGAAAATCTGAAGAAACCAAGAGTTTCTATTTCACTGGTTTCTTTAGAATTCCATCTTTTCTGTCCAAATTATCATCCAACACGGCCAGCCTGGCGTGCCCTGTGGCTGCCCAACAAGCCAGAAGACAAGTACCAAGCTAGTGGAAACCAAGATGCCAAGGACATCTATTCTTTGTGATCAGGCTTTTCAGATTCATCACGGAAAGCAGGCCTGGCATGACAGAGATTGCACCCACGCAATAATTCCCAGAAGTTACCCAAATACATAAAAAGTCTGCAATTCAGACTAAACGCTCCTGTTCCCAGAGAGCCACCCAGCGGCGAGGTTACACATTTACATACATATGCATAAGCTTTCAGGGCACATGGAATAAGCGAAGATGTGTTCAATTCAGCTGAACTTCTTAAAGGCTTTCCAAACAACACGTATGAGAAGCGACTGAAGAGCAGCCACCTCAGCCCAAGTACCTTTAACCAGCCCATGGCAACACTGGTATTCTTACCTGTGACCAAACTCTCATTTCTGCTCTGTGTAACACCCTGTGGAGGTGATTCGCTGGCTTGAGGGGCTGCTTTCTGTCCTGGGGTCGGCCTGGTGGTGTTAGAGGCCACCTGTTTGGTTGAAGGAGCATTTGCCTTCTCAGCTTGCTTCCTGGGTTTCTTCCTCTTCTTTTTCTTGAGCTGTCTGCCAGCATCCTCAGGCTGGCCTGGCTTAGACACTAGAAAGCAAAGACAAATTACATGAAACAGGACAACACTCCACTCCACTTCACAACATTCAGTTATTAGTGAAGACTAAAGTTCCAGCATTGCAATGGCATATCCCAATCTTCAAAAATTACCTATTTTAGGATTTATTTAACCAGACCACACAGGCTTGCACACTTCACTAAAATCCCAGTTTTCCCACGCCCAGCACGCGTACCGAAGGGCTCAGAGCCCCGCGTTACAGCAGGGATTGTGCTTTTCTTAAAAAAACTGCACAACGCA